GGGTCCTCTTTACGTTTGGGTTCGTGTCAGCAAAGCTTTTCAGTCTTCAGGGTAGAGACGGCTTTTCTGAATGCCTTCGGGTAGGCAGCGCCGCGTGTTACGTCTGCGCATCCAACCGCGAAGCATCCCGAGGACAGAACTGGATCTTGCAGCGTGCTTTTGTAGCTGTTCCCTTTGAGAACCAACCAGCCCTAGTCCATTGATTAGACTATTCCCATTCTGCGTTTTGTCTGACGTGCGGACTGCTGAGTGTTCCCGTTTGTTCCTAGCTTCGCAACACACTGCGCTTCATGCTGGGAAACTTGTCCGACTTCCATCCGGCAACCGACTCCATCCCCGCGTCGGAGATGTACATAGTAGACCAATACGTGCTGCATTTGCTGCAGGACTACGGCAGCAAGGTGGGCGTAGTGTCGTGTTCTTTGCCGCTCGTGCCCGCCGGGGAAAACCCGTTAGGTGTGTGAGTAAAGAGCAGGTGACAAGTAGGGAAACCGTGACTGTGGAGGTTTCTGGGACGCAACGGGCACTCCCTTTGGCTGCTGAGAGGAAGGCTTTGCTTTTAACATTCTTAACTTGGTTTTGATGTGCTTCCGCTCCCCCCTGCCCAAGGCCTCAAATTAGAAGTCTTCAGAAATAGTTAGAATAGGATATTTGCAAACAAACAAGACCACACAACAAACCTTCTAGAGCTTTGGAAATCTGCTGTAGTCCAAAATTTAGTCATGTCTGTCAGGCAGAACCGTTCTGCTGCATGAGGAAGTACGGGCGTAATTTCCCCCTGTCCTCTCTCCCCAAATTTTAATTGAAATTATTTCTTTGTCCTAATTGTTAACTGAATTAACTCTCTCCCCCTCCCTTTAAAGAAGAGATTCTCCCAGGCTCTGTGTCACTCATTACGGCTCCTGTAAGTTGGGGGTCATCGGGGGGTGCCACCGTGCGCCGAAGACCGAGACGCTGCTGTTGTCTCTCTGCTCCCTCTCCCAGGTCACGGAAGCGTACAAAGAATACGACTACAGCAAAGTTGTTCGGTTGCTGCAAGCGTTCTGCTCCCGGAACTTGTCCAACTTCTACTTCAGCACAGTCAAAGACAGGTGGGTGAGGGGTAGGACGCAGGGGGTTGTACTCCGCGGGGGTTACACTGAGCTCTGCTTCCCAGAACGCAAGCAAAGGGGCAAGGCAAGAAGCCCTAAGGCGAGGCGTTGTTGACCCCAACATACAAACGCTTCCCCGTTTTCATCTCCGTCTTGCAGGCTCTATTGCGAAGAAGAGAAGGATCCTAAGCGTCGCTCGTGTCAGACCGTGCTCGCAGAGGCTTTGGATGTCGTAGTCCGCTCCTTTGCCCCCATTCTTCCCCACTTGGCAGAGGAGGTTTTCCAGCACCTCCCTTATAAGCAAGGTAAAGTGCATGTTATTTCTAAGGAGTTCTTCTAGTGCAGTTAAAAGGCACGCCGATACGCAGAGAGGCCTTTTTGCTATTCACTTTGTAAAGCCTTGAACAGAGAGACACTGAAGTGAAAATCCCACTCTCTGCTTTGCTTTCAAGACTCGGAGGGCGTGTTTCGGACTGGCTGGATTAATGCAAGCTCGGCCTGGAAGAAGCCCGGCATTGAGGAAGCCATAGAAGGTGCATGTGCACTGAGAGACTCTTTCCTCGGGTCCATCTCCGGCAAGAATGCCTTGGAGTACGAAGTCATCATCGTAATTGAGCCCGGATTGCTGTTTGAGTTAATGGAGGTAAAAGACACAACTAATAGGGCTGGTTGTGCAAAAAACACTAGTTCTGTAAACCACTTTCTGTAAAAACACTTTCTTCTGATTTGTACTTGCCAGGGAATGGCAGAACAGTTGAGGGCAGGAGGGGCTGCTGGAGTTTGCGTAGCAGGGTCAGGGTTCCCAGGGCTGTGGCCAGTTGGGTTGTGAATGCTTCCGAGGACAGAGACGCCCACTGTCTCTCCAGGCCGCCTGTGCCAGCATTCTGCCACCCTCACAGTAAAAAAGTGGTTGGGATTTCCTCGTTCGCTTCCTGAGCTGCCCCTTGGCCTGTCGCTGGGCACCACTGGAAGCCCCAGGCTCTCCCCTCAGGTGTGAAACAAACAGCACTGGGCCCCTTCCTGACCCTGGGGCTGTGGACTCCTCGGAAGGGCCTGCTCCAGTGCCACTGGCAGTGCTCTCCCAAAGCAGCCCGCTTTCTCCACGTCAGGGCCAAAGGAATTTCTGCAGAGGGAACCTTGGGCACTGCACTGCAAGTCTGTACTCATGCTCCTGCTTCAGGCCGTCCGCCTGGAGCAGGCACTGCAGCCATAGCTTTTGTCCTGGAGAGCAGCAACACCCTGTGGTGGTTGACTCTGTTTTGGTGCTGGATTTAACCATAATTATACAGACGGATACATTTAGCCACGCACGTATGTGAACAAGCTTGTGCTCCCTTCCTGGCAAGGCTGTGGCAGCCGTTGCAATCACCCACACTGTAACTCTACTCCAGCTTTAACGTTTCCCAGGAGGAGGAAAAAAGGGTTGGGAGTCTGAAAATCACCTCTCTTCCCTAGGCACTGCAGGCTGAAGAAACGTCCAGTGTTTCACAGCTGAATGAACTCATGACGGCTTCCCAGACAACCCTGCTGAGCGAGCTGCCTAAGGAAACGCCGGCAGACGCGAGCATCGTCGAAGGGACCTTCCTGATTAACTTGGAAGGTAGGAGAGGTGTGCCAGTGCTGTGCCAGGCAGGCTGCTGTGCCGTGTCGGCACCACGACACGCTTAGTCACCCGCTTTGTGTGGAGTCGAGTGTGAGAACCGCGCCGTCTCAGTCCTAACGCTTGCTCCAACAGGGGGTGTTATCCGTGAAGAATCTTCCTATAAAGTTATAGCCCTGCCCCTTGCCAAAGCGAAGTGCCCTCGCTGCAGGAGATACACCTCTGATTCCGCCAGCACTCCCTGCCCGCGGTGCCTCAAAGTCCTGGCTGGGAAAGGCAGCGGGTGAAAGACCCGGGAGGTCTGTGTGCCGCAGCCCCAGCGGAGGTACGGTACGTGTATATACGTGACTGTGTACAGCGCTTCTCACCTTAATAAAAAGGGCGGTTTGAAATAACCGATGCACTTGGTTTCAGCAGCCCGTCTTCCTTCCCTGCTCACTTCCACTTAGGAAACTCCACCATGCAACAGCTCTTGTGTAATCCTTACGCTGGCAGAAGCCCTGAGCGCCAGCCCTCCCAGCCCAGAGCAGAAGAAAGAAAAGGTGGTGACTGGTTTTCCCTATGAAGGAGGAAAGGACACAATGAAACCTCAAGTTTTATTTAATCAATTTACACAAATCCACAGCAAATTAGACACAAAAGAGCACTATGTACAGAGTATTACTTACAATACATTACAGATCTGAGTGGTGTAGTGTGTCAGCTCTAACATAATACAGTAAAATCCATTATGCAGCTGGACAAGGATACAGGAATGTAAGGCAACCAAGGCACGCTTCCGTTTGCCTCCGGTTGCATGATGACCAGGGCTCCAGCATCCTCATCTCTGCCCAGGTTTGAAGTGGGAAAGTCACCTGTACATTCTGGCTGCCTTCTGTTTTCCAGCTGCTTCAACCTTAGTTAGGGAAGTCAGTATGGAAGTACCTAGGGAACAGACCAGGGCTGGCTACTTGTTCTTACTGGAATTCTTCCCATTCTTTGCTCTGACCTCCTGTCACTGTAGGAAGTCTAAACACTGCGCATTCAAACTTCTCAAGAAGCCTCACTGGCTACGTTGCCATGGAAGAGGGGGAGAGGCCACCCAGAACACGCCACCTCCGTAACCTCTGTTTTTGGGGGAGTCTAAACCCATCAGTGACAGCAGCATGTACTTCAGAAAGACCAAATTCTGCCTCCAGCAGGGCAGAATGCAGGGTATGTGTCTTGCACACAAGGCAAGAGGAGCAGGTTACAAGAATTTCAGCTGACTTCCAGACAAAACCGGTTGTCACCAATTCCATTTTCCTCTCCTGGCTTCCGTTAGGGAGAAAGTACAGTACTAACTGATGCAAGATAATCATGTTTAATACTACTCCAATAGTGAAGATACTCACTAGATGATTCCCTGGAGGTACCATAAATAAAAGTGGCTTTTTTAAGGCTAAAGTACTCGGTACTAGAGATCCTGGGTGAAGCCGGGTCAGCTAGTTAAGCAGGTTTTGACTACAGGTTGCATGTGCAGAGATTCATAGCGTACTACAGCTCCTACAGCGTGAGACGGGGGAACCATCTTGCAGTAAGACACTCCTTGACCTAAATCCAGTTTTACCGGAAGCCCAGCACCCTAGAGACAGCACGGGGAGATCCAGACTGAGAGATGGCTGTAAAGTGGGATTCCCCTTCCTACTGGATCTCCCTTTGCGTAGGGCCGCCGCACATCCCACCCCGTCGTCGTGGCTGTGGCGCACGGTGCAGTTCCAAGGCAGAGCCCAGCGCTGGCTCTCGCTTCTGCAAAGGCAGCACTGGCTTCGCACGGAGACCTCGGAGACTGGAGTTTCTCCTGGGGTGTAACTCCACAGCCTGTTTCTAAAACCAGGTCCTGCCCAGAACGCTGAAACCGCAGCATTCCCTGCCGGCGTGAAATGCGGGGCTGCACGCGATAGGGTTTCCTAGGGAGACTAAAACGGTGGTCAGACATACCCAACGCAGACTACCGCGAAAAGCGCTCGGGTCAGATACAAACAACAAAGCATCTCGGGTACTGACGAGCGTACTGGAAACTAAACACCTCTGCAATAGCGCAGAATTTAAAAGGTACTCCCGTTTCAAATCACCCGCCGGGATGCTGGGGTGGGGTGCAGAGTTCTTTCTGTCGTTTCACAAAGGGCCACGCGGAAGTTTCTTCCTGTAAAGTTCAGCCTCGTGGCGTGACGTCACGTGCTCCCCACACGCTCCGGCAGCACCCAGCCGAGCTGTGCTGACCAGGAAGGTCAGGATGAGACAGCTTCCACGGCCTCGATGAGGTTCAAGGCGAGGCTGTACTGCCCGTGATTCTCGGGTAAGTGCTCCAGAACCTTGTTAACTAGCTTAGCTGTCGTCGGGATCGGCACTTCCACGTTCTGAAGTTCCTGGGGGTCCTACGGAAAAGGACAAATGGAGCATGTAGGTAGTTTGATTAGGTGACCATCTGCCTACCAGCCCTCTTGAACCTGTATGCAACAGGGTACTAAGGTTCACAAACTCCTCTGAGCTGGTGCTTGGACGCGTGAAACTGCCCTCCGTGGCACAGAACTAGCACCAGGAAAACTCGGGAACACACCCTTGCGTCCCTCAGTAGGAAAGGGCCGCTCAGACGTCATCTCCGTCTCTGTGAACAGAGGCTTCTGAAAATCCACCTGTTCTCCTAAGTGGAACTTAACTTACCATAGCTTTGAGCCAGGTACACAGGGTTGGAGGAAGCCTAGCGAGGAGTTCCATGCCCTCCTTCGTCTGCACGTGGAGTAAAGCGAAGGCCAGTCTCTGCCCGGCCAGGATGAGCAGCTGGGATGCAAGCACTTCTTTGTCAGCCACCTGAAGGAAGGCCTGCAAGTAGGAGAAGATAAGGAAGTAGGAACCATTTCAGCCTGACACAGCTCGCTTGTCTGGGGGCTTGGAAGGCCGTATCCAAAGCAGCTCCTCGATACTAAGAGGACAAATGGTTTTGAGCCTGTTTCTTTGTCGCCTGTTACTGTCACGAAGCACGTTACGTTAAAGGCTTCAGGACAGCAGGGGAGTGAACAAAGGCAGAGAATTACTCCGTACTGTACGCAGGGATTAGCATGAGCATGAGGCCCAAGGCACAGGTCAGCAACATGCTCCCAACTTCCATACCTCTTGCTTGCTTTTCCCCTCGAGAAAGGCAAGGATTTTCTTGACCAAGGACTGCTAAACTTTCCCTAAGAGAAGAAATTACAGACAAAAGAGCAGGTTCCTGAAAACTATCCAATACATTAAAATAAAAAAGGCTGTACTGGTTTAGACCAGTAGTGTAACTCCCTACCACATTTCCACTACTTGCTGTACACAGATTCTCGCTGGGAAGAAGGAAAAATGAGGGCATTTATTGGTCTTCAAAAAGTACTTTTCCAGCCCCTGCCTCTTCCAGCTCGATAATACTTGCCTAACCCTTCCAGGCATCCTAAGTGAGCGCAAGCCCTTTAGGGGAACGTCTGATGCCACGCTGTATCCGTTTAAAATCGTTGCAAGCCGTTATTACCTCTTCGCCAAGGTGATCCATCCCGTAACTATAGAGTTCGCAGACGTAATGCCTTCTGACCACGTCCTCGGGGACTTGGAGACACTGAGCCATGTCCGCAGCCAAAGTTGGCCAATTCTTCCCCTTTTCAAAAGGAAACAATTCCTCTTCCGAGGCTTCTTTGGCCTTTTGTGATGAACACAGTGCTTGAACCGCCGCACCCACAACTTTCACCAAGAACTTGGAAGCAAAAATTGCAGGTTACTTCAGTATTCTTTGAAGCCTTAGAAGTTGAAGAACTTTCAGCACGAAGCTCACACCTACCTGCTGCCGTATGGATAACATATTTGGATCTACATCCCCACTGGGTAGCAGCTGAATTGAAGTAAGGTCTTTGAAAAATGCGTTTTTGCCCTAAAATTGAGAACCAAAGACAGGCCTCAGAGATACAGGGGAATACAAGTAATCCATTTTGATCCAATCCTAAGCAGCCTCCTTAGTTTTTTTTTTACACTTAATCTGTACTACATCTTCTATTTTCCTTTGAGAACAAAGATTAATATTTAAGTTAAAGCCACAGAACAAAACAAACGTTTGTTCATGCAACCATAACGTGTCAAGGATTTGCTTTCAAACGTAAAACCATCTTCCTACTAAACTAGGTAGCTGACCTGCTACCCACTGGAGCTGAAGTTTGGGTGTATTTCCCAGTCCCTGGCTCTAGTCCAACGTACCAAGCAGAATACGTAGGAAGAAATGGAACCTAGCCGATACAAAAATACATTTTATCTATTACCTATCGATACAGGTGACACCACTTTATTTTAAGGTCTCTTGAACTACAGATTAATCAAATTTCAGGTAAACCCCTGAATGATGGCACCGGGTAGCCCTTGTTTCAGCCCACCATGCTCCAGCAGTGACATAATACCAAGCAGCTCTGGCAGTTCTGCTCCGTGTTAGCGCAGGGGGCAGGGAAACTGGTTCCAAAAAAACAAAATACACCTATGTTAAGACAGTGATGACTGTGTAGGTCTAGACAGTGACTTGCCTTGTCAGAAATAAGGTAATAAATGGTCTTTGAAACTTTCAACCACTTTTTCAGTCATCAGCCAAGATTATCTACAGACCCATTAGAAATTCCCTCATAAAGCTCACAGAACCAATGGGAAACTTGAGTGAGTGAAGGCAAAAAGGCAGCAGCTGAGAATAATCACAGAATGGTTTGGGTTGGAAGGGACCTGAATTCTAGTGAAAACTTGATCAATGCGCCAGAGTGGACTAAATGTCTTTCACAACATTACGAACGAACCGTTTGAAGAGCAAAGACATCCGTCATTCCTGGAAGTGTTCAAGGCCAGGCTGGATGAGGCTTTGAGCAACCTGGTCTAGTGGAAGGTGTCCCTGCCCATGGCAGGGGGGTTGGAACTGGATGGCCTGTAAGGGCCCTTCCAACCCAAACCCTGCTGTGATTCTGCGAAAGGTAGCGCGCAGTAGGAGAGGCGCTTTCAAAGGACACACCTTGCTATCAAACAGCGAAAGAGGCTTCACGCTCTTCAGAGAAAACCTCATGATGGCGTACAAGACGGTACACAAGACAAACTGGTGCTCCACGAGCGGGTAGTGAATGCGTTTCTGCTCGAGGGCTAGTTCCACTATCGACACTGGTCCTTCTACCGACACCCAGGCATCTTCCGTGTCTAGGACAGGAGCCTGCATTTCGTCGCTGCTAACATCAGCCTGCCAGAGTGATGCAGAAAAGCAGTCAGGCAAAACATCATCCGTGTCGGCCTTCCGTGCGAAAGGCATGGCTTGAATCAGATATCCCCCCAGGGAAAGGGAAAAGAAAATTTCATATTGTCTACGAGTTCGCTAATGCTTGTCTGAGCAGTACAGAGATTAGTGTAGCCATATTCCTTAGAATTAAATTTGAATCGAGCAGTTCCTGACTTTCTACAGGGAAAATAAAAGTTTACCTCTAGCAACGTTTGCAGAAGGTCCGAGCAGCAGCCAAGAAAAGCCGTCATCGCTGTGTCACTCATACCTACGTCCTGTTAACACAAAGTACGATTTAGATTGCTTCAGTTGGGACTGAAACAGGCTTTTGTTAGCTCTGGATGCTTGAGAAAACAATCGACCTAAAACACATGGTTAAGCTCAGTCTAGTACACCATTACGTGTAAAGGCAAACAAATATTCACTGAAGCACCAAGGATTAGAAATAACGGGGAAAATAGGAATAAAGCTTAATGTAGCCACTTACAATACTGTACCTCTAAAAAGTGAATTCCCCAAGTAATCCCATGGAGTAGATTTCACTTTCTGAGCATATCAGCTGTCTTCCAAAACACTTTCAACTAATAAAATTATGCAGTGGAAATACCAGCAATTTGTCACGTTACACTCTACCTTCTCTAATATCCAGTTACACTACAGCTCTGATTTGCTTTGTCAGGCCAAGTTTCGTTTACATGGCTTAAAATTCATTACGTTTTCTCTAGGGTTGCATTTTCAGTTTTTCTGCAACTGTCAAAAATACATCACAAACTAGTACTAAAATTAAGGCTTTTTAAAAAATTTTTCCCATCTAGACAAAAGTAGTATTACTTGCCCGTCTGCATAATCTGTCCTTCGGAGCCTTTCCAACCTGTTTAAAAAAAAAAAGCTCAATTAAATGATTTTCCTCAGAAGGTACCCGTTACTTCACTTTTTAACCTTTTATTGCTATTTTCCTAATATAAAGCAAGAAAACAGCGCGTTACAGCTAGATCATGGGACACACTGCATAGCCTGCTTTCAACAAAAGATTTGATGGAGATCTCACAACTCGGAAATGAACACCACTGATGCCCATGTTGAGTTCAACCTTCTTCGAAGTCCAGGATTAAAAATAAGCCCCCACGGTCCTCATTCAGATCCCCAAGGCAACTAAAAATCTCCCAGCGATTTCTAGAATGCAGAAGGAGAGGTGTGATGCCAAGCGTGGTGTAAGAAAGGAACACTGGGGAACAAGGGAAGAGGAAAGGAAGTGAATGCTCCAGCATATTCACTGAGGTGGGGAAGGTCTAACTAGACAGCTATTAAATGTTTTCTGTGTTTTGCCTGCCTGAATTCTTCAGAAAAAAGACACCTCAAACCATACCCTGTTTGGGAATGTTACTATGAGGCCCAGTTTCTACAAGCTGAGAGACACGCGGCACACAGACCTCAGTGGAAGTTCTCTGCAGCACACACAAAAACGTGATGATTTCAACACCATGGCAAGAGTCTAAGCAACAGCTGAAGTGAGATTCCAGGGTCATGAATTTCAGGGTTATTTCAAGTCAAGCAATCCATCCTGCTGTTTCAAAGTCTGAATGCAAGACAACTTTCAGCTGTCAATTTTGGGACTGATGAAGTGCCAAGACTTACAAACTGTGTTTTTCTGGAAGTTGATGAGAGATCAGTCATGCCACTGCTTCTATGACACCAACCCTAAGGACTAATTCCCAGCTTTCAAACATATAAAATAACTATTAAAAGTTAGCAACATTCGTTATGACATGATTTATTTAAGGTAACTGACGTGTGCAAACTCAGTTAATAAAACCCTTTATTTCTTCTCCTGCGGGTATTAATCTAGACAGATGTAATGCTGGTGGGTTTACATAAAGGCATGCAGAAAACCTGGAACAGATTTTTTGGAGGTGAAACAGCTGCTACAGCTGTACACAACTGCACCTATTTGCTGAAAGGAATGAGGAAGATGATATTCTCCAATTCTTACAGAGCTAAACAAAAAGCAAAAGCAGAAAATGAGAGGAGCAAAGAAGAAGGGAAAAAGACAACAAGACAGCACATTCTTGTGGGTTTTGTGTCGGATAGTTTTTTTTTTTTTGGTGGGGTTCTGTTTGTTTGGGTTTTAAAACCACCATCAACACTTCTCTCTGTCTGGACTTTTAAAGCTGAAAAACACTTAGCTGTTGCATTACGTCTGGCAAAGCCAGAGGCAGCTCACCCTTGCACAATTTAGACAGATCTATCACTGACTGGCAGTCCCTCTCCTAAACTCTCTTTAAGTCCTGAGCGCAACTGCCTTCCAGTAAACAGATCCGCTGCATATGTATCAACAGGAAAGTATCAGGAAGAAATTCTTCCCAGAGAGGGGGGTGAGGCCCTGGAACAGGTTGCCCAGAGAAGCTGTGGATGCCCCATCCCTGGAAGTGTTCAAGGCCAGGCTGGATGAGGCTTTGAGCAACCTGGTCTAGTGGAAGGTGTCCCTGCCCATGGCAGGGGGGTTGGAACTAGATGGGCTGTAAGGGCCCTTCCAACCCAAACCCTGCTGTGATTCTATGAACATGAAAACTGAAGTGTAGCGGGGAAAAATGACGGCTGAAACCCAAGGCAAGCAGGCTGCATACTCAAACAGAACCTGATTTGCAACCACAGTGATAGTTAAAAACGCACAACATCCACAAGCTGCTCTGCGTGTTGCAGATCAAGCGCTCACACGTGCAAAATTTGGACCACAACATCCAGAAAAGGTGCTGCTTGTGGGAACCGGAAAGTTTCACGGCAGTAACTTACCAGGAAACAGGCACACAGAACAGGCCAAGTTAGCGAGTGTTTTCTAACTTCAGAGTTCATACACACACATACATAGAGTCAAACCCCTTCACAAATGCTTTAGCAATTCCAAGCTAACACTGCACATAAATCTTCAGTGCAGGTCAGCCAGTGCCGATCAGCTATTACTTAAAGCTGCCTATAGCTGATCATTCCATGGATTTAGTATGTCAAAATGTGCATTCCTTCATCAATTCCGAAAGTTAGCTACACAGTTAGCCAAACGAGCAGGGCAGGTTTGATGCTTAAATCAAAGATACCTCAAACTTACTTAAAAAAAACAAAACAAAACAATAAATTAATTTTTAAACCCAAAGTTTAAAAACACTAGTTCCACCTTTCAGTTAATAATAAAAATTCAGCCTCAAAAATACTGCCGCAAGAGTGCACTCACCTTGTCCATGAGATACGTAGCAGAAGAAAGCCTTTTTACTATGAACGTATTCCACATCATCAGGGCGATACCTAGAACAACCGCAAACTTGTGAACCCCAAGTGAAGGAGAAGATCTTACAAGAACAAAGAGCCATGGGCCAACGGTCTGTTAATGGGGGTGAATTAAAAAAAAAAAGATGGTGAACAAAAGGGGAAGTAGTTGTGAGTTACCCTCACTGCTTTATACTTGGACTTCCCAGTTTCTCAGGAGGAGGCTACCTTGGTGGTCAAATATGGCCAGAAGTGCGACGAGTCGTTCGTTAAAATGCTTATGCTATGCAGGCTGGGTGCAACGCCGTAGGTATACAGAAATGTTGGTGGTAAGCATGAAGGCTTAAGCCTAGTGCTTTAGGCATAGAGAGCACCTTATCTGCATAAATGAATAGTCTACAGAAGAAACAACTCACCACATTCACTAAACCCAAGTGTGGAGAAATGCACAAGTAACTGGCTGCAGGGAGCAGCTGCCACTATTGAAACACATCTTAAAAAATCAGTTTTAGAGCAATTTTGTTTTAAAATGGTTTAGGTAAGCACATTAACCTTATCTAACCAACTTACTGTCATGGTTCTGATGGAAACTCAGTTTCAACATTAAAAAAAAAAAGCTTAGATGTCAGCACAAAGCTTTAGGAGTTTGTTTGGTTCTATTTTTTAAACAAAATGGCCATCCCTCCTCCGAGCTGCGCCCATTTACACTGGCCAACAGTCATTTATTCTGTTGGTTTGCAGTTTCAAAGGTAACTTTTAATAATAAGTTCAATACTTACCGTGCTGAACATGAGCGTTAACGATGCATCTTAGATGATCTATAGACCTAATGAGAAAGCATGCTTCCTTATGTAAAACAAAAAGAGTAAAAGAAGAAATTATTACACTATTCAAAAAATCTTTTAGATGTCAACTGCTAATTCTTAAAGGGCCCAGATAGATAATTTTAAAGCTACATGGTTTATAACTGTCAAAAAGTAGTAAGTTATTCTGATATTCCAACCTTCTCTGTGGCAAACACAGGTGCACGTGGCAAGGTATGCTTCAGAAATCAGGAAACACATCCTGGTTTCAGCCCTGTTTTCAGGGCTTTGTTTCAGTGTATGTACTGCTAACACGCTCTTGGCTGAAAGGTACAACCCCCCTGCCCCTGACTACAGTCATTCTTCAAATACAAAATCCATTTCTGCTAGAATGATGAATTTTTACTCCATTTCATTACGACAGGGTTAAGTTTTTAACTATCTCAAAGGAACCTTCTGTTCCACAGCAAGGTGTTAAGTCGCACAGGTCTGAGGGGTGCTAAGTTCAGTTTTAGTATCATCTGAACTCAGGATGTTTTCCAGTATTAGAGAAGCTATAGGAGAGCAGTGGAGAAAAGGGAATTTTGTTTGTTTGTTTCTCCTATGACAATTCCCAGCAGTGGCCAGGGAAGCTAAGAATATTCAAATCTCTCTTCTTTAAAGGGAGTAGATTCTAGTCTGTAACGAATTGAGCACTCTGTGATCTCTTCCACCATATCTGGAAGGGAGGAAAGGTTCATCACTACTTTGCAGCACTTAAACCATTTGGTACTTGCACAAAATACAGTCAAAACCCTTCTTCATGCTGCTTATTGGAACCCAGTTTCCACACTCCCAGTTCTGAGAATGTGATGGCTTAGAAACACACAGTCCTGTCTTCATGAGGCGCCATTCAGCCTCGGGGCCTGCACTCGTTTTCTCAACTCAATCTGTTGGTGCCACTTGGCACAGAAGAACCGTAACTGGTACGCTTCCAGTCGCCTCCACGGCAGGTTGAACGACCCAGCTTCGCTGGAGCTGGTCTGAACCACTACTCCCTGCAAATGAAATGCTTTTACCTCTGGGTCTTTATTCCACTGCACTACGTATTCCCAACTGCAGTGTGCATGGAGTACATCCACTTCGAGGCTACATGGGAATTGCTGATATGCTAGTCGCAGCAGCTCTGGACAAAGAAAATCTGAAGTTACAAGACAGACCTCACTAAAATTTCTGCTACTTGACAACAGCAGCAACTAAAACATCTCTGCAGACACTGAGAGTTTGAAAAATTCATGGTGTTTTCTTACCTAGGATTGTCTCCAAGCCTGCATCTGCTTCTGGTTCCTCAAGAAAGATATGGGTATGCATTTCTACAGGTTCTTCAGTACTATCTGCACTGGTTTTGTGTTGGGCCAAATTCAGTACAAGAGGACTGAAGTCCTGCTTAAAAACCCACTTCGCTACAGTGTCAGCAATACCTCCTAGGACATTTAAAAAAAAGTAAGATTATGAGGTATAGTCAACATATCCCAGAAGATTCATGGGTCAGACTCAAAGGACAAGAAAAGACAGAGGAGTTTTAACTGATACCATTAATTACATAAGGATAACGTTGCCAATTAGAAAACTTCCTAATCAACTGATTAGAGGTTTACAATGCAATCTGTATAGTAGTAGTCTCTTACAATTTTAAACCACTATTCTATAGAATCATAGAATGGTTTGGGTTGGAAGGGACCTTAAAGATCATCCAGTTCCAACCCCCCCTGCCATGGGCAGGTTTGTTTTAAATTAAGAGAAGTCACCAGCAGAACAATTTCTAGTGCAGTGTATATCACAAATTAAGGTAAGGATGGCTCAGGAGCCTATTGGAAAGACAGTCAACCATCTTTCCAAGAGGAAAGAAAAAAAGAAATGTACCTTTTCCAGCTTCAAGCAATTTCTTTACAGAAAGCCTTCCCAAAGGCTCAGTCTGGAGCGATGAAACTCTCTTTGTCCTTGTGCTCACTTTGCTATGCAGTAGTGTTTGAAGGATCAGACAATCCTCTAGCTGTTTCAGCAGAAGTTTCCAATATTCAGTATCAAGGGAAAGTGCTTCCCAGGATTCTGTGTCCGAACCTACAATTATCTGGGAAAACTAACAGAACATAAGAACTGGTTTAGGTCGCTTCACTTAACGTAGCATAGTCTTGTTTTAAAAAAAAAAAAGCATCGTATTAAAATGGAAAGCTACATCCTAAGAGCTACTGCATTTTAAAGAATAATTTAGTTCCAGGTATGTACACTGACTATCATGCAAATACCAATTAATATCCCACACTGCTCACAGGATGCAGAGATTCTTAAACAAAAACAGAAGGACACAAAAGGACCTGAAAGGACATCTTATAGTCGCATTTAGTTGAAGAGTGGGTTAGAATCCCTTCAAAAAGATTTTCATCCTCCACTATACACACCTTCCCAACATACATGATTAATCCACCTACATTTCAATTTCCCTCAATATTAAATATATATTATCATGCACCCAGAAACACTGGATCACACCACCTCACAGTTCTGTGCATTATTTTAGTAATTCCCATGTTTATCAGCAAATGCTCTGCCCAGAACCTTTCCAGTAGGGTACAGATTTGATTTTTAGATTTGTGCACTGAGACAGCAAACTTGACAGTTCTCAGAAGCCTGGCCGGTAACAGTTTTAGGTTTTAAGCCAAGGGATGCATAGCCTTTAAGACTGTCAACATCATTTGCTGTTAAAACTCATTTAAATATGTGATGGGACCTGTACAGTATGTTCAGCAAACAATTTTGATATCTCGTTCATTCACCTCAGCAAAATATTCTTCAAATCCAAATTTCGAGGCTTGCGGGATGGCATGCTTTTGCCCATGTTAGAATGATGACAAGTTGCATGGAGAATGCTATTCCATTACAAAGACAGCAATTTGCATGGAACCAAAACAGTCAATACCCTAAAAGGGGGAGGCCCAAGGTGACTTACCTTTTTCTCTGTCACACTGTCAATCATCTGTGCGGTTACGGCATGCCCAACGTGAGCGGACAGCAAGGCAGCTGCGTTGTTTTCAGACTGAACGCAAGCGGTACGCATTTGCTGCCACCAGGGAGAAACCGACTGAGTGTCCCATGACTCATCTATAGCGACTGCAGAGAAAGGGACAGCAGGACATTCGGCTTGCGTCACTGGGAGTTCAAACTGGTAAACCAGCAACCACCCCCGAAAGCATCCCTTACTAAGACAGCTTCTACCAGGTGCAATTTCCAATTACTCTACGTTATCTTTTTCTAGATATGCAGCACACGTTTTCTAGATTATAACTCAAATTTAAAATAAAGAGCAGAACACGAATTACTCGTTCTCCAAGTTCCACTTGTAGGGAACAGGGAAGAGATGTAAATCGCCAGGTAGTAAAACCTGCTGCATGCTTACTACATCTCAGGCTATTACAGCACGGCACTTCACAGTGCAGACAGCTTCTTTTGCTATTTCAAGCTGCCACACGTATTCAGTGCAATCATGCTGCCTCTCTTCATGCTACCTCACGGTTAATTTATGCAGACAGCAGCAGTAGCTTATTCGCTCTTCCAGTTTCAAGCCGACAACGGTGCCCTGTGGTGAACTAGGCATAAGGGAACCTAGCGCAGACCTATCCATAGCAGCTCTGTGAGGCAGGAGAATCAGTATTTATTCGTTGCACAACTGACCCCAGCTAATGGCAAGCTGACTTTACAGAGCACCCCCCAAGTTACAGAGATGTTCAATAGACAAATGCTGCTGCAACAACGGTGTCGCAGTGAGTTAAAGCAACTCGAAGGACTTGTGAGAGCACAAGGGAGAGGGGGCAGGACTACACACCCAAAAAAAAGGAAGAAGGGGAGCTGAACAGCCACATTCTGGTGCCAAACATGAGTTGTCACAACTTGGTGGAGAGTGAAACCGCCAGGCATGAAGGCGGCATTTAATTGTGACAGTCTTCAGACTTTGACTGTATTTTTAGTCAGTCCATCATTCAGCTCTGTTACGTAATTTGTGAGGGAGGGAACCCTAAGTGATACCAGAGACTAATCAGAGTAACAAATTTCTAATAATTATTAATATCAGTTGTGTTCCAAATGCACATTTCACCTTTCATTTTGCTCAGAAGTGACAGCATAGTGTGAAGGCAACTGACAGAATCTGGTTTGTCTAGAATATCTTTTTCCTTGGAAAGCCATAAATTGAGAAGGAGTGACTGTAAAAAAAAAAGAATATGTAATTAAAGCAATAGAATGAAACTCGGATAGTGCAATATACCTACTGCAAACACTTTCTCCAACAGATTGTGTGTCATGGAGCAGAAGTGTTACATGTATGAACCCTGATGATATGTTAATATGATGTAAAACACATCGCATAAGGCACCCTGTGACAGACTTTGAAATGAAACAATACAATCTGGATCTTTCATTTAGAGAGGCATCTTACAAAACACCCTCATTTGAAGGCACAGCCAGCTAATACCAGTATGTTAGCAATCTCAACTGGGCAAGCATTATTAGTTATGAATGTTACAGCTGAAAATTGCAACGCAGGCAAGTAATACCGAAAGAGGTATTTCCATCGTTATGCAGTGGGTGGAAGAGAAGTAGCAAAGGACTAAAATTACATGCAGATGAAAGAGATGATTGTCTGAACACTACTAGTGATTCTGAAAAATTTAACACCTTTTAAACTTCCTTGTTTGCTTAAAAAAAGGAGTTATAAATGTATCAGTACCTAAAAATTAACTACTATCACAATTTTTGCTTCTTTGCAGGAAAAAGCTTCAGTGAATCTATACAGTGCTAGCTGCACACTCCAGGCATTCCCATTAGAATACCCACATTCTCTACTAGATGATCTTTCTTTTCTTTGACATCTCTTAAGTAGGAAACAAACACGAGCACCTAAAAAACTGGCTGTGGGGGTATTTGAATACAGCATTAATCCAAAGGTCAACATTCAGAATTTTCCTTTTAATGTTTTGTTTTTAAAATACTAGAAGTTTTAAAGTAAGTGATAAATATCTTACCAACAAGATTTGAGGGCTAAAACCCGCCGATTCCAATGCATGACATATTCTCTCTGTGGAACTATCTCCACACAAACTCTTCCAGAAGAAAAAGCTGCCTGAAGCAAAAATTAGTGGACATTATGGATAATATCTAAAGCCACAGCCTCTCCCCTTACACTGACATCAAAGATCCTCAACTGATCGGGTCCCAGCGAGTGCAACACAAGGGACTAAGTTACACCCAGGACACCCTGATGGTTTACCCTTAGTGGAGAAGGAAGTGGGAACACTCAGGTCCCTTGTAATGAACCACTACAGGAGTCTCATGGAAAATGGATGTATAACAAACCCAAGGTTATTGTACTGCTTGGATTACACATTTTGTACAATTCAAAGGATGGCTTGAAGTGTCCAACAAGTTTATCTATGGAGTAACCCATAACTGTGTGGCAAGCATGTTGTACCTTATACAGCAAACTAGTGCAATTAAAAACCCCAAACAGTTATATATGTCATACCTTACCAGCACTACGGAAAGTGAGTGTCCTTTTGAGACAGAGGAAAATTGGGAAAACAAGACCTTCAAGAAACCATCTAAACTGCTCAGCATGTCATTCATGTTTCAGTTCCATCTGTTTACAGCTGAACACCCTAACAAGCTACTGGTGATCCCTATCCAAGGACACAGGGAGAATACTTCTACCCCAGTTCTTAAAACCAAGTGTAGAGTTAGGGTAGAGTAAATGCAAATTCTAAGATTACTTAGACACAGCTTTTGCTCTTTGTGCAGATGAAAGCCAAGCTCGTCTGCCTAACTTTTCAACCCCAATTCCTCTCAAAGTCTGTGGCTAAAGCCAAAAGCAGTAGGAAGCTACGAAGTTAACACCTGTGTTTACACCAAAATTTCCCCAGAAAAGAAGTTATCTGAAAAGACAGTGCCTTTGAGACAAATTTAACTCTAGCTACTTCCACTAGTTATTTCCCAAGAGCTGCTCAAGGACAGTCCGAAACAGACTGGCAAGCTAAAGCAGATTACAGACAATAACCCCATCCTACACCCCAACAGACCAGATATATGGATGGAGGAGAGTATTTCAGGTCAACATTGCCAAAAATCTCCTCAGCTCCACAAATGAGCAGTCCTTATTCCCTCATCTGATAGTGCTGTGCTGCCTCTGGTCAGCTCCCCTATCTCTGAGGCTAAAGTCAGTCTTGTCATTAACTGAACCCTTGAGGTGCTGTGACCACAAAAGAAAGAGCAGGATACAGCTGGTATGTAAAGTATTTAGTTACCACTGTCAGTCTGGTGATGTTAATAAACAAATGAACAGTGACACCATGGCTTTAGGGTAATTTTATCCACAGATATAATTAACTTGTATTAATAACCACCTGGGTAGAAAGACATTCCCATGGCTAATGGCACGAGTCTGGAACTAGCACTCTCACATACTACTTTCAAGGCAAGCCAGCTTGTTAAGGCCCCCAGATTAGGGCTAAAATATTTATATCATCTTAGACTATAATCAGTCTTTAAGTAATTAGTCATAAAAGTTCAGTAGCTCTTACCTAAAGCCACATACTCTCCATCTTCCATATTTTTCACATTAATCACGTCCTTTTCGTATTCCAAATACTCTAAGAACATTTTCACAGACAATACATCATCCTTCTCATCAAACTGAACAGTAGTTTGGGTGTTTTGTTTCTTGTAGTTCTCCAGTAAAGTTTGGAGTCTATGAAAATCTGTTTCTTCCAGCCGAAGTAGTTTAGCCAAGTCCTTAAAAGCAAAAGACCCCAAAAAAATCACACATCACAAGACTAAGGCACACGGCTGTTTTTCAAAATACACTAAAAGCTAAAATAAAAGTCAGAAGAGTCAAAATATTTCGTTTTGAATATTAAAATGTCTTTAAAAAGGGACAAAATGATTGAATAATCTCAAAATCGGTTATTCATATAGCTCAAATGAAGACCTTGTCTAGCTTCATTTTTAAGGACTTCAACAGAAGTATTTCCCATATTTAGATCCTGCTCATAGTATAACAATCACCCATCAAGCAAATAAGCCCATGTAACACCCCTCCATATGGCTTTTATGAATGTACAAGCATCTTTATAAGTGATATCAATAGCAAGCCAAATTATGATGCTACACAAGCAAATACCAGAATTTGTGATTTCTACGGGTCTCAAAATACCCCTCCAAAACTAAACAAAGTTAAGAATGTGCTATGTCCTTTGGATAAAGGACTGAAATCAGGAGGTCCTGGTTCTATTTGCACTTCTGTCTCAACTTCATGTGACTGCTCAAGAATATAAGGCAGACGAATTACTAGGCATTTGTATGGCATGGGGGGAGGCGTTATAAAACAATTACATCATTAGATGTTCCAGGCCAGAAAAACAGGGAACTCGCTTCGCTATTTACCCGAGGCCTTCAAAACATATTTTTATACTGAAATCATCACTCAGTTCTGTAAAACAACTGAATTTTTGAATTTACTCACGCTGTCTGAGGGCAGAGTGTCTTTCTGTATGCTCTGGGAATTCAGTTTACTAACTAGTTCATAAAGATGTAACAGCTTTAGCTTGTTTGCGCAGAACTGCAGTAGTCCTTCGTCCACACACTCCAACTCTAAGGAGAAATAAAACTGCATTTGAACTTGAATATATAGCCTGGAATAGTGAAACACGTCACAGCTGCATCAAACCCCTCCCGTTACTAGAACTGGAGGACTTGCATTGCTCAGTGTGTAATTTTTTGATGCACTGCTGCTTGCAATGATTACATTTAATTCATGGCAGTATAAAACTCATCTTTTACAAGAAGTATTAAAGATATCAGGCTCATTTTTAATCTGAAGGAGGTTGACAACGTGGAACTGAATAAAGACAAATTCCTTGTCTTTTCCTGATTTAAGACCAAAGCAGACACTGCCAAAAATTGAAATACAGTAAGACTCCAACATATTTCCTATTATCAAGCATACGCAACTATAAGCTTGTAATTGTTATCCAGTACGGAAGCATAGTCCTTGCATCAGAAGAGCTTGATGTCTCTTGATATGAATTCCATTTCTTCTCTGCAAGACACTACCTTTTCTGTTTCTACAGTCTTAGCATCAGAAATTTCACGTATCTATTCACATTCAAATTTCAGTAACAATTAAAGCAATCAGAATACAGGAAACTAAGGTCAACACAATGCTGGGG